GGCCAGCTGGACTGAGAAGAAGAAGAAAAGATTATTTCTTCGATTATTGCTGTAACGCTGCAAATATTTTAAAGATTATGCTCGAGAATAAAGCAATCAAAACCTTCAACAAACTTCAGCTAGCGTCAACTGATGACTCTAGAACTAAAAGACATTCCATCAAGCACCCAGTATTGTTTAAAGCCAGCGGCACACGATGCTTTTTTTCTTGCTAGTTTGCTAGCTGGATTCGCGTACTTGTTGAACTCTTGTTTTCGATTGGTATATTTTTTTAGATCCAAAAGAATATACCAATCAGAGACAAAAACTCAACGAGCACGTAAATTTAGTTAGCAAATCAGCAGAAAAAAAAGCATCGTGTGACGCTGGCCTTTAGTGTGACTAGTGTCTATCTGTACCTTCTTGCTGGAAAGTTCCCAGAGACGCTTCAAAATAAAGTTACAGATAAATCGTGGACATGTCCGCTTTCGGGTTTCGCTCTGTTCAAACATATATCTATCTCATTTTAAATATATCGAGTGTATGTATATACTAATGCAGCTAAAGAACAGGATTGAGAGAGATAATGTTGATGATATATCTTTGTATCACGCAGATCGCATACAAAAATTCTGATTTATCGATAAAGAAGCAAATGTAATATTTTACGCAATGCCATCCGACAACAATAAGGACGATCAACCCTTGGCATATGAAGATGATCCACGAACTTCTTGCCAATATGGTGCTAAATGCTATCAGAAAAATCCGCAGCACCATAGTAAATACAAACACCCGCCAAAAAGAGAAACGGTATAATCAACTGATGAGAACATGATAGATTACATGCTGAACTGACATACTAAACGTCATTTTCATTATATTAATATGCTAGATTAGCTTGTTAATTAACTTGCAAAAGAATATCTGTGTTTTGTTAATCTTGATAGAATTGTAAATTTTCAATTCTTATACAGAATGTATACAGAGAAAAACGAATAAATTCAAAATTTTATCGATTAAATTAATTGCCAATTAAGTTAATTGAAATTGTTTAACGCATGGCTGTTACTATTTATTCTTTTAATTTTGCAGATAGATGAAAAAACTGAGACGTTAACTACTGGAGTTAAGAGAAAAAATCCCATAAAAGATCATAAGAATGAGAGGTCGAAAAGTCCACAGAATAAATTGCAGAAAACATTCGAACCTGAAAAGAAATTGCATAATCTTTCTCCGAGTCCAGAAAGAACTGGAATCGTTATAAATAAGAATGAAAATGATAATAAACATTCTAATGAGAAGATATCAAATAAAGAAATATTGACTAAACATAATTCAGTTAATTCAGTTGAATACAATGCAACTGAGAGTATATCAGTATCCGACATGACTGCCCAAAATATTATTATGGATCTGTTTCTGGTCAAAATGCCGAAAGATTTTTTTCAGTTCTATGAGTTTTGTAAAAATATATCGAAAGATAATCCTCTTTTGGCTTGTAAATCTGTTCGCTTGAAACTTGTGGGTCCTTACGATGTATTGGATGGCAAAATAACTTCTATAGATGGAGATAAAGAGAAATACTTAACACACTGGAGATATTATTATGATGTTCCGGAATTTCAGGTATGATGAATTAATATCTACAAATAGTATTGTTGAATATTCTTAAAAAGCTATAAATTTAATATAAAAATTACATAGACTATTATGAAATGCGATGATAAAGAGGGATTACATTTTGGTTATTGGCGAGATGACACCATGGAAAAACCAGTGTTTATAGCAAAGAATCGAGCGAATGTGAATGGCATATTTGAACCTGTCGCAGAAAATATATTCGGTGCTGTTGAGTAAGTAAAAAATTTATGAAAATTTTAAAAAGCGCTAATATTGGTCTGTCTCTACAGACCAATTTTTTTTTTATATTATTTCCTTATTATTTGCATTAAATTACAGCGCTTATTTGCAAAATAAAACAAAGTCAGCTAATCCTTTCGAGAAAACCAGCATAATACGTTTACATTCGCAACTGAAAAACTTTGCCAAAAAACATAATATAACTTTGGAAAAAAATAGCGTAAATATGCGAGCGAGAGAAAGACGAGTTGTAGCACGAACTTTTCACAAAGTAGGCATTGTAGTTCCTTATGATAAAAAAACTCAATTGGGTTACAGAGAATTGGCAGCAACAGACAGTAAGTACGATTAAATCATATTCAATGTATTTAATTAAGTTTAAGTTTTTTATTGTATTTAAATATATTTACTGTTTATATAATAT